TGTTTCGTAATGTTTTTGTTTTGAAAGTGCTAAGAAACTTGGACTGGGTGTTTGGGGAGAACCATAATTTGGTCTGTTGTAGGATTTTCCGCAGGTAAATTTCTTTGATCACTAAAAGATAGTGTTTCGTAATACGGTCTTTTATGAGAAAGTGGTGTTGACGCTAATAAACCTTCTTTGTATTCGGATTTTATTATAATTTATAATAAACAAAGCCCTCTGGTAGAAATGTTTTTCTATAAAAAATTTTCTAAGATAAAGAATTAGCCTATAATTTTTTTTTACCCTTTGTCATATGAATCTTGTTAATGTATTCTGCCACTGGTTTCTTTTAGAGTAAATTCAGCCTGGCTCTTTTTTCTGGTAATATCTACTGTCCTATTGTCCTTTTATATGCATAAGTTACTGGTGTCGAGGAATGACCACTATTTCGCGGACAGAAATACGTCAGGATAAGTACCCTAGGGTACCCTAGTAGCTACTAGGGGAGGAGTACTCTTAAACTTAAGATTTCGGTAAGACTAGACTGCAACCCTAGCAATTATCTATTGAGTTGAGTGCGTCTACTATTCCTGTATTTTCTATAAATACGATTATATTTAAGTGTCACCTTATACCATTATATTTTGTTTTCTTTATTCTTTTTAAAGTGCTTAAGAAACTTTGACTGGGTGTTTGGGGAAAACCATAATTTAGTCTGTTGTAGGATTTTTTGCAGGTAAATTACTTTGATCGCTTAAAGTTGATGTTTCGTAATGTTTTTGTTTTGAAAGTGCTTAAGACTGGGTGTTTTGGAAGAACCATAATTTGGTCTGTTGTATTATTTTCCGCAGGTAAATTTCTTTGATCGCTTAAAGATAGTGTTTCGTAATACGGTCTTTTATGAGAAAGTGGTGTTGGCACTAAAAAATCTTCTTTGTATTCGGATTTTATTATAATTTATAATAAACAAAGCCCTCTGGTGTTAATGTATTCTGCGACTGGTTTCTTTCAGAGTAAATTCAGCCTGGCTCTTTTTTCTGGTAATATCTACTGCACTATTGTCCTTTCATATAAAATTTATTAGAAATATTTCAATCGGTACTTGGTAGGTCTTTGTTCTTAGGTTGGTTTGTTTAACGCTTGTAGCTGGCGGAAACAAACCCAAATATTGTATATACAAACGAAAAATAAATGAAACTCTGTTTATCATCCCTATTCAGATGATTGAGTAGCATAATATTAGCATGATAGTTATTTCCGGTCCCAAACTCGGATAAAGGAGGAAGGTTGAGCAAGGAGTTTTTCTCATACCACTGAAAATTATTTAGAGGTCATTCGAGATTCATATGTATGGCTGTATTTGGATTTTTTAAAATTTCCTCTCGTTGGCTTATCCTGACGGAAACATTTCTCATACAGACACAAAATGTTTATATTTTTCAGGTAATGCTGTAATAATTTTTATTAGAACCATTTTATCTGACACTTAACCTTTTAACTGTTTAATTTCACTCGTATATTCTTCAATTCTTGCTCAGCATTCGATTATTTGATGAAAATCTCTCTTATCTTAGCTTCTCTTTTTGTTCTTAATAAACCTTAACTACTTGAGAAATCGTTGATTTTCAGTAAAGACTCTTATTTGCCCGATTATATAAGGTGATTTAGTGAAACGGTACGATATGGCAACGGTGCTTGCCAAAAAATAGTGGAGCCGCGGGCTTGCGACGTAAACATTGTGAATCTAGAAGGTATGAAGTTTAGTTATCATGGAGAAGTGGTCGGGTGAACAACGCACATTTACTATGAAAGATTATTACAAAAATGGTAAAAATTTTGGACGTGTACAACGAGCGTTTCGTTTACACTACCATTTGCCGCCACGCAGTCCATTCAGACCTGGGTTAGGAACTTTGAAAGAAGTGGTTCTACATCACAGAAAAGAGGTGGCAGTGTCAGAACTGCTCGCACACCACAGAATATCGAAGCAGGGCGAAACTCATTCATTACACTTGAATCCTCGTGCCGAATGCCTGCGACGACGAAGATTTAAGTCTGGGATCAAGCTACACCACTACCAGCAGAATTTTGCATAAAGATCTCCAGTATTAACCATATAAAATCCAGATTTTGCAAGCCCTTAACGTTCAAGATTATTCTACCCGACTAGAGTTTTGTGAACAAATGTTGGAGCATATTAATGAAAACGACAACTTGCAATGTAACCTCCTAAGAACTATAGAGACTTTAAAAGAACTGATACGCGAAGAAGTGGAGGCAATACCTTAAATCTGCGTAGTATACATTTTTCTATGAAATTTAATAAAAAGATATGTTTTCAGGTTTGTTTGTTTGAAATCTTACTATTTCAGTGAATCACCTCGTATTATGGACTATCTTTTGTTTTTGTCTTGTGCTCTTAACAAACCTTAAAAACTTTTAAAAGTGTTAATTTTCATCCTAAAAATATTTATCAGCCAATTTTTTAATGGATTTATATTTGCTTTTCTTTTGTACTTATTTGATGGAATATTTTCTTTGTTTTCTTGTGTGCCTTTAATAAATATTCACCTATTTGGTGAACTCTCGCGTTTGCTTTTGTTGATGTTCTTAATAAAGATTAAAAAACTTTCGAAATAATTGATTTTCTTAATGAACTCTTTAACTTCGACTATCTTTTTAGATATGTTCATGGAAAACGGACCTGACATTGTTAACCTTTTACCACTGACGTGTACTTTCTGGAACATAACTACGGATGTGGTGCCATGTAGACCCCATGTAATTTCTATTTGGTATTGCCAACATTTTTTACAAGTATGAAAAATTATGTTCAATATATTTTCTTTGATATATTTTACATTAGTGTATGGAGAAATATTATCAATCAAACTGTCCGAGCTGCTGAAGCCCAATTATGAACCACAACACATCTACTAAGATGTTAATGACCGTGATGATGATGATGTATTTTTTTATAATATTTTTTCAAATTGTTAGTTATTAAACATATTACAAATTACATGACAAAATATCCTAAATAATGAAACGGTTTACTAAAAATGTTGTAAATTTTTTTATTGTTTAAAATGTCTCTAAAATAGTTATGGAAAATTAAACATCAAATATATGAAAAAACAAAATAGACAAAAAAAATAAACCCCCATATAAAAAGCTACAACACCCAAACCTTAGCAATTTTGGAATTGAGATAAAAAGTTACTTTGCACATTCTTTACAAATATTAGCTCTATCGTTATTACACATTGATATCTTACAAACATCATGAAATCTTAGTCTTTTTATCATTTTTTCGTGAACACAACCCACATCTTTTTCGTTTTTGGTTCATATCGGGATGCACGTTTTCATCAATCATCGGTTTGTTCAGGATTCTACTTATGTTCATTCTCAATTCTCTTGAAAGTCTTTGGTTGATAATTCTTCTATTCAAATGTCGTTCAACGAGTTGTTTGGCGAGCAGCTTCACAAATTCTGCCCGTAGTATGTTATTTGCTTCTGGATAGCTTTGGTGTAATATATATGAATTAACTCCTGCTATGTCGATATTGGAATAAAATACCGCCATAAGCCTACACCCAGTACGTCTACTTGAACTACAAATTGCACATTTTTTATCCAGAACATCTACGCCCCCTTTGGTTTCATTATAAAAGACAATCATTTCAGGTTTGCCAGTTTTAACATACCCTACTTCTCTCTTCCGGTTGGGCAAAAATTCGGAGAGAATTTCTTTCTTGGTCTTCTTAAGCGTACCTACATACGTTAATTCCCTTTGTCGTAACTCATTTGCAAGTTCAATAGGGGAGAACCAATTGTCTGCAGTTACATTTCTGTTATTATTTATAAGTTTTACCACGGATTGGGTTGGTACAGCCAAACGTCTTTCTTAATCTGTTAATAATTTGCCATTAGCATTCTTTCCCGAGACATCACACAACGAAATATATCACGGCCACTGCCGTCTGTTGCAAAAAACACGGAATGTCTTCGTTGTTTGATTTGAAAACAGAGATGTAGTAGAATATGCCTAAAAAAGCTTTAAGTTCTATAATATCAAGGTCTTCCAGTTCTGGTTTATTAATCCGCTTATAATTTCTTCTTAACTCAGATAATTTTCGATTAGTATGTATAAGAATTTCAGCTAGAATGTCATTATCGATTAGACACCTCCATATTAGTAAAGGCAATGCACTTTTGCCTAACTATTTGGCATGACCACGAAGTCCTGGTAAATACGAAAGTAGTTATGTTTCTCTGTTCTCGTTCTCTGTACAAAAGTATGCGACGACAACTTAAATCTATTTTTACCATAACTCATTCCATTTTCAACTTCTTCACCACTTTCAGAATCAGATTTGTCAGACAAATCACCACTAGCTTCCTCACTATCATCTACTACCGAATCGGTATCATGCTCACTTTCAATGTCATTTAAAGAGCCACCTGACTCTTCCATGTCGCTAACTTCACTTTCTATCTCATCATGCCATAACAGAGTTTCTTTATAGTTTTTATCAAAGTAATGTACTGTTTTGGATGGACCTGCCATTTTCGTAAATTTTTCACAAACACTGACGTGGTGCCAAAATGGCCCTTTTCAAACTTTAGATAGTTATAAACTAGATACCACACTACAGAAAAACTTATCAATAAGTAAAGCGATCGACGTCACTATAACTTGAGGTAACTGCGAGTCACAAACCTATAACAAAAATAAAAAATTGCGCGTAATTTGAATTTAGTCGGGGGTCGTGTGGGCACCACATCCGTAGTAGAAGGTTAATATTTTCTTCTTTAATAATACATTTTAATATTATTTATTTAATAATTCATTTTGTTTAAGTTGGCGCTTTCATTAATATCTATACGATCTTCATAATTATCTTGTTTCGCTTTATTGGTATTGGATCGTGTGTATAGGATAGTTTTTTGTTAAGGATATTAAATATCCTCACAAATTCACAAATTTGTGAAGGGGCAAATAAAAATAAAAACAAATTATTTATTACTTTATTGACAAAATCATTACAATTATGTATTGAATGGAATGTATAATCCTTTCTATATATTTACGTTGCAAAAAAGTCTGATATGATAATGTGACAAAATGTATTTTGATTATTTAAACAGAGGTGAATTAATAGGCATTAGGTAAACAATTTTAAGAGGTCACAGCCAAACGAAAAATTGACAACTACGGAGGAAATTATATACAGTATTCAAGTGAGCCTATTTTAAAAGAAATGAAATTGCACGAATAGAAAATACATCAAAAGAACGCCCATAGAAAGAAAATAAAATATTTTTGAACAAGTTGTCCTGTTTTCTCTTTTATATAAAATTTGTATCATAATTTTTTAATAAATTTTAATCTCCTTATAAAATCTACAAATATCTAGTTGTAATACTATAAAAATATAAAGTCTAATAAATAATGTACAATTGTTATCCATCATTGAAGAATCAAAATCATATTTACAAACATATCCAACAATTCGGCAAACTTTAATAAAAAAAAATAATGTGAAAATCAATTAACTAAAACCAAAATTAACAAAAAAACACAGGGCTTAACAAAACTCTGTAAATTATTGATTATTCTCCTAGATCTTTCAATCACTACAGAAAAATATTAAACAAAATGGAAATTATTTCAGCCTTTTTAAAGACGATACATATATGTATTTCGTCTTTTGGCCAAAACGTTTGGTTTCATTACAAGAATTTTGTCAAATATTCCGAACCTACACGAACATCGCACTTCCAAAAAGACAATCGTTATATTTTGATAATTTTACATCTATTTGTGACATTGCAAGTCAAATGATACATTTAACGTAACGTAAAATCTCACATTTCATGCCTAAATGTCACATTTCACGTCAAAATAATAAGTTTTACGCCAAATGATACATTTTGTCTAACGTAAGAGGTTTTATTTTAACGTTACATGACATGTGACGTGAAATTGGACCTTTTACATCATATAAAATATATCATTTGTTATTACATGTGACATTTTGATGAGAAATGTATTTGACGTGAAATATGACATTTGGCGTAATAAAATAATCTCTACTAATGTGCAAAAATGACACTAATAAATTGAACAACTAATATATGGAGTGCAACAGATTTTACAGGAAAATAATCTTTACATTTCTCGTCTAGTTCACCACATCATAATATGACCGAAAGACAAAATTCTTTACTTTCATTCGGTTATCCTCCATTTTGCAAAATATAACATTGTAGTAACAATAATTATTTAGCAAACTGTCTAAACGACATATAAAAACATAGTTTTTTTTTTCATTCAATGACAGAAATGCTTATATATTCTCGTCTAGTTTTATGAAGTGTAGCCTCTTGATAAATGCTCATGTTTAACAAAATGAAGTGATTTTATATGTATCACTTGTTATAAGTTGCTTAGGTATACCATAACATTTCCTTATGTTTAGTATTTACTATTATGATAACCTTTTTATGATTGAAACTAGTATTATATTAGAACAAACATATAATTTAAAAAATTTATGAAAATCCTTTGGTAAAAGGTATATATTATATTATAAATATATACCTTTTACAAAGGATTTTAATATTTTTTTTTAATATATACAGCCAACTACAGGAACGTAGATTCCTTGTGGATACAATTTAGACTTGAATTTCTGAATTTTTAGTAGCTAGAGGCAGTTTTATTTAATTCAAGTTGGTTGATGTAGAGATGTGCCTGTAGGAACTAATAAAGAGGAACTACAGGAACAGATCTATAAAAATTATATTATAAAGGCACTGGAATCGAATCGAATTGACTCCAAGTTAGTTTGGAACTGTCTTCAGAATCTGATTCGGTTCGGAAAAAGTAACAAAACAAATTTAGTCTGGACGTTAGGACATACTGGTATTGATGGAAAGGAAAAAGATAATCTACTTGTCAGGGGAGGGCAAGGAAAACTTTTGTGGGCGTCGTAAGAAGCATAGCCAACAGAACGATATCGGAATTGGTGGAATAGGACACTGTCGCCTTAAGGGACCCATGAATAAACTAGGACTGACAGAAAGTGTCGATTGCAAATTTTGTCTGCAAACAAAGACACTAAAGAAACTAAAGGTTGAATCACAATAGACTTCTAAAGTCGAGTGGAAGGGTGGTTAAACACCCACTCATATTGAAGCTAACCTAACCTGACCTAATCAAGTTGGTTTGATTTTACTAGTTTTTTTTACTCAAAACAAATAAATAAATACGTTTTTCGAGTAACATATAAAATTACCGTCTGTTTACAGAAGAAGTTCAACAGATTTTCCTAGTTATTACTCTACAGGATTGGTTTCCAGATACCTATTAGGTCAGTAATGGCAAACAAGCACAACTTAGTTGGAAAATTGTAAAAAGTCAAGTTTTACTTGTAATATTGATTGATTGATGCATAACAACATTTTAATTACAATCTGAAACTACAAGATATAGACCAATTAACTGTCTTCTGATCAATTAAAGGCATGTAAAGGCTCTCGAGCGATATGACAGCAGGTTCAAAGCGCTCTTGATTTTTCTCAAAGACAAGTATAAACAAAGTTTTTCTTTCTTTAAGTTCATACCTTCTAAAAATACTAAACATAGGGAATTGTTTACAACGTAAAAACAAAACAAATATAAATAACAAAAATAACAGTTGAAAAAAGATGGTAGCTTAGATGAAGAAGAGCCTTAGTTTTGTATAACCCTAAAAGAAAGTACTGAAATAACACTTCATTTTATTAAACAATATCCATGTGTGATAGCTTTATAACTAATTTCAATTATTTTTTTAGACACAAACAACTGTTGATAACACATGACCATTTGTTTTAAATAAAGATATCTAAAAACGCAGTTTATAATTTTAAGTAGTATTTTAAAAGTTATACGGACAAAAAGTTTGACGTCTATAATTGAAACTATTTATCCAGCTGTTACAGCCGTAATAAATTAAGGATTTGTGAATCAATATTAAACAATGGATTTCGGATACTTAATTAAAATTATATTTACATTGAGCTCGACATTAGTTCGAATATTTCAATCAACTGAAAGAGCAGCAAATAATCCACAAAAAAATTTATGATTACCTTTTTTAAAATTTAAAACGATAAATACACATATTTTCTGGGGCCAGTTAAATAAGTTTTTTTTTGTAAATCTTATTACTGTGTTGTTTATTCTGTGAATGCGTATAGTTAACAAGAGATCAGATATATTATACACTACTAGGGTGTTTATGGAGTATCCTTCACTAATATTGATTGGTTTTTTAAAAGTTAGAATACAAAAGTTCCATTTAAAACCTGAATTATTATCTCCAGATAATATTCCTGGTTTAGATCGTGTTCTTGAGTTACATATTAAGTGTGGCACCATATGCAACAATGTCTTCAGAAATAAAAACAAACGAATCTGGGGAATACACAGTTTACACTGTGTTATGGGGCGAGAAATTATTCGTTAGGCTACAAATTATCTACATGACGTATCCTCCTCTCTATTAGAGCCGGAGTGTTTTGTTTGACAATTCAAATCCTTTTTACTCCTGCTCTGGAAAGTTTCGTGAAATCGTAGAAAAAGTTCCACCTTTTTTGTTGATACTCCTGAAGAACTATTAAGTATACCGAAACAACGATATAACGCATATCAGTAACTCAAAAACAATGCGATCGTAACGTTATGGGAATGCGAAGGAATCATTAGCAAATTTTGCACGTTTTAAATTTTAAGAAAGATTTTACATTTCAAGACGTAATTCCTGGAAATGAACTTTAGAGATTGAATCAATAATGCAGTCTATTAATAACAGCAGGTACAAAAACAATCAAAGCTATGAAAATCTGATCCTACTTTCTGTTCAAATACAAACAATTACCATGCAAAGCAATGAACCAGCATGCTGTATGGAAGAGCAAAAATAATATCCCCGTACTAGACTTTTTGGTCTAAAAATACTTTTAAATGAAAGCAGGATGTTTGATTATTATATATAGGTTTTCTTTATTTTCTGTAAAGTTCCTTCATTCGTTATGTTCAAGTTTTTTAAAGAACCTAAATTATCCTTTTTTGGCGGGAGTGAATCTGTTGATACATTCAGTACGTCTAAGTTAACCGTCTTCGTCCTCGGAGCTAAAAAACTGGTCTGGTTGACAGTTAATCTGTAATGAAAAAAATCTATTGGCGATTTTGTGACACATATTTAAATTTAAATTATATATAAACTCAAAAACCAGTAGAATCGATACAGAAAACTAAAAAATAAAACAGTACTCTTAAATATACAAATTTTAAACAAAAAGAATCAAATAAATTCAATAGAATTAAAGTGTATATGTAACAAACAAAAAAAGGATTAAAAAAATTAATAATAACAGCCCTTTATCTTCTCACGAATCAGCATACATCTTAAATTAGGTTCAAAGTTAGGCCGGATAATTCTCGATATACCGATTGTACCTTGACAATTACAGGGTTTCCCCTGATTGGCATATTTTAGTTTTCTTTAGAATTTAAAAGAACTTTTCCAATGTATGAGTAACATCGGCAACAGGACATGTAAAGTAAATAGTATCGCTATAGCTCTTTTAAAGTTACGGAACAAACTCACACCACAAAACATGGAGAATCCTATACAAACCAACCAAGAGAGTATTATTTCTATTAGTATTTGTAGCATGTTTAATATCAAATTGTGGTTATTCTCTATTACAGTAGTCTCTATATAACGATTATTCCCGCATCCAAACGTTGTTTGGTTCGTCATAAGGACAATGTATTCATTCTTTCTGTATACCGATATCGTTCTCTTTATAGCGATGACTTTTCAGCGTCCAATAGTCGATTGCAAGTGTGTTATTGTTTGAAAGCCCCGCGGTCTTTTTGTTCGCGCGGCATGCCTAACTGATACCACACAGATGTTGTCATCGATACTTCTCACTTTCAGTTGTGTCTCAGTGTGTGAACATTCAACATGTTTTCGAAAAAGCGTAAAGTGCTCTCGGTGAGTGGAACAAAAGTTATCGATAACTCGGGCAATAGAAAAAGGTGAAAGGCAATCGGATGTCGTTCGCCGTACGGAGCTGTCTCAGTCAAGTGTGGCTACGATATGGAAGTACAGAAAAAAGTGGCTTGAAGCGGAAATGGAGCAAGAAGAAGTTGCGAAAACCTCAGCACGAATATTTAGATCGAGCTATGCTTCAGTGGTTTTAGCAGCAGCGAATAAACTGTATTCCACTCTCTGGGCTTGTGGTAAGGAAAAAGGCTGAGTTTTTTTGCAACTGAGCTTGGAATTGAGAATTTCAAGACATCTGAGGGTTGGTTAAGCAAATGGAAGCTGCGGCACATGATCAACTCTGGGCAGATCAGCGGAGAGGCTCGCGATGTTAATAAAAACCTAAAGGAAGATTGGCTAGAAAATGTATAGCCTGGACTGAAGGCACGATATGCGCCAGACGACATTTTCAATGCTGATGAGACTGGATTGTTTTTTAAAATGACAGTAAACAGAACTTTCAAATTTAAATTGGAAAAGTGCGGTGATCTAAGGAACGCATTACGGTTTTAGTGTCCGCTAACATGACAGGATTAGTGAAGACGAAATTGTTAGATAAAGGAAAGTCAAAAAACTACGTTGTTTTAAAAACATCAAAATCTACCTGTGACCTACAAAGCAAACAGCAGGGGGCTGTTTGCAAAAGCTGCAAAAGAGAGGGGGGCTGTACTTATTTTGGTTCGTTACAGGCTATTATTTGGGCATATGTTTGGATTTAGTGAACGAAGATTCGGTTCCGTTAATGAACTTGCTTTGTTTCAAAAAGCAGAAAAAAAATGTAATTTCTATTGATTAATATTTATCGTCTCAATAATTTAATATGTAAGTATTTATTGTAAGTTATTTACCATGTAAATAGTTGTAAAGGCGGTATCCTAAGAAAAGCAGCCTTTTAACAGGAATGTGGTATTCTACTATGCGCGACATTGTGAGTTGTCTTAGAAAGAGAAAAACAAAACAAACATTTTAATATCGTGACTGCTAAATGTTCAAGAAATTTGGTTTACGAGGAATATACACCAAATGATCATGAATGAATATTACCGTGATCGGTAAATCCCGCTCATCAGAAAGAAATGCGAGGACTGCTCCCAATTTTTTTGTCTGCCTCACTTGGGGAACGGGTTTATATTGCATCGCACGGTCTAGGTATTATATGTCTATGGGCGCTTGCACCCATGCCGTAATCAAACTTTTTAACGTGTTTTTTTGTGTTGCCTTTTTTAATGAACTTTTTTGATTTGATGGAGAAAAATGTTTGATACCTCATGTAGTGAAATTTTTGTAAAAAAATTGACCATAGCTCTGCAGATGGCTTTGTAAGCTGAAGACGCTCAGCTAGGAATTAAATACAAATTAAATACACACATTAGAAATAAATGGGATATTGAAAAATGCCGTGAGAACTCTACTCTGGAGGTTCTCGTATCTTGCTCAAAAGACTTACATACCTGTAAAGAATTAAATCTTTTAGCGAAAGCCGCTATCGCTTTATATATTAAATGGCCAACTATATGGCCTAGGAGACAAATTCGTTAAACTTCCCGTGCTCGAATTGGTATCACTAAAGTGTTATGATCATTTCGGCCTATCCCAGCCATCGTCAGACACTTGGGCTGATACAAATTCAAACTCGGAAAGTAAAACGAATGTCTCCCAAATTTTTACTAGCGTGTAGTTAGCTTATAAAGGCGCCCCCTACTTTGAAGGCCGTGAACGAAACGATATGAATAATCGTTTTCTGTATCCTTTATGCTATGCGAAATGTGTAAAGAATTAAATATTTTAGCGAAAGCCGCTATCGCTTTATATATTAAATGGCCAACTATATGGCCTAGGAGACAAATTCGTTACAACTTCCCGTGCTTGAATTGGTATCACTAAAGTGTTATGATCATTTCGGCCTATCCCAGCCATCGTCAGACACTTGGGCTGATACAAATTCAAACTCGGAAAGTAAAACGAATGTCTCCCAAATCTTGATTTGGGAGACATTCGTTTTACGATGGCTGGGCTAGGCCGAAATGATCATAACACTTTAGTGATACCAATTCGAGCACGGGAAGTTTAACGAATTTGTCTCCTAGGCCATATAGTTGGCCATTTAATATATAAAGCGATAGCGGCTTTTGCTAAAAGATTTAATTCTTTACACATTTCGCATAGCATAAAGGATACAGAAAACGATTATTCATATCGTTTCGTTCACGGCCTTCAAAGTAGGGGGCGCCTTTATAAGCTAACTACACGGTAGTAAAGATTTGGGAGACATTCGTTTTACTTTCCGAGTTTCCGAGTTTGAATTTGTATCAGCCCAAGTGTCTGACGATGGCTGGGATAGGCCGAAATGATCATAACACTTTAGTGATACCAATTCGAGCACGGGAAGTTTAACGAATTTGTCTCCTAGGCCATATAGTTGGCCATTTAATAGACTTACATACCTGTTCTAAAATGTTATACGGAACCTAATAACCCACAATAAATAGAAAGAGTTGCTGCACCATGTATTCAATTAATAACAGTTTTTTTTATCAAATTCACGTGCTGTGTGATTACAACATTCGATTTGTTGTTTTCTTGCAAACCCACGTGGCTCTTTAAACTTATTCAAAACTTAATCCATAGAAGCGTTGGCGTAGAGAACATAAATCGATGTTATATCTTTGCTCTTTCACAGATAAAACATTAAACATGTATATAATTGGTTCCATGATTTATTTTATTTAATGAAGGATGAAGACGGATTTAATTATGAATTGAACAACACATGAGATCCAAATGAATGATCTAGCAATAAGTAAGTTGAACTGACTGTGATGATCAAACCAAGTAGCTCAAATTCAAGAAAGAAGAATGCTCTTTTAAGAAAAATCTGAAAAGTGAAACGTCTTGAGACAGTGAATGGTGAACACATTTTTAGATGCAGATATGTTCATACAAACATTTTTACATTTTTAGAAATATTTAACGGATCATTAGCCACATTAAACACCAAACGATGAACGACAAATATAATACTGTTAAAACACTTAACATTTAACATATAGATTTATTTAATCAATAAGCACACAACTTACCTCTCTAAATGGTTGTGCTGTTCAATAAACGGCGGATTAGGGTACTGTGAGCGGCCATGAAACCTCCGGGAGACCAAATATCCACATACAAATCCAACGATTAGGCCACCCATACAGGCAACGGCTACAATTATATGTAAATATTCAGAAGTATACAGGGTCAGCTTACTTTGGGAAGCACATCCTGCAACTTTACTGTTGACTTCATTACAATCCGCTGATTCTTCTTCGAGTTTTAGTAAGGGGTCGTTAGATTCTTTACTTTCGTCCAAAGAATTCGTATCGATTGGGCTCACATTATACTCTTTGGTAGGAACTGCATTATCTACAAAGTTGGTTATTACAATATTAGCAAATGCATACTTGTATGGATAAACGTATATTTTAATACGAGTATATTTATTAATCTACAGGGTGACAATTGACAATGACTATTTCAGTAACATCAAAATGAAGCTTATATTATGCAATTTACAATCTAATTAAGTGTGGAAAATAATGTCATCAAGATGGTGACCATCACGTTGACCGCAGTTTTCGATTCTCTTTATGAAATCCTCCATAACACGCTCTAACATCGCTCGATCAATTGTCAGGATTTCTTGGCGAATTGTGTTCTTCAACTCAATCAAGTTACGAGGCTTGCTAGCATATACACGACTCTTTAAAAAAACCCCATAGGAAAAAATCACAAATTGACGGGCCTGAAGACCTTGGAGCCCAGGGAAAATGTCGGAAACGTGAAATGAGTTGTCCTGGAAACAGGTTGCGGAGAATATTCATTGAAGCATGGGCAGTATGTACCGTGGCACTATCCTGCTGAAACCAGACATGGTTTTTTTGCGTAGTTCTGGAACCAAACAATTTTGGTTCATGTAAACGTAGCGAAAAGAATTAGAGGTGACGGTATTGCCAGCCTCTTGAAAAAAATATGGCCCAATAATGCCAGTCAGACCAATCGCACACTACACTATGATTTTTTGAGAACGTATTCAGGTTTTCAGGAGCCCAATACCTGTATTTCTGTTTATTAACGGTTTCGTCCAAATGGAGATGAGCTTCGTCGCTCATTAGAAGATGCTGACATAAGTTATCCTCCAAAAGAACATTAATTTCTGCATTAACAATCTGCTATTTTTAGGAATGAAATTTTAGGTCCTTATGCAACATTTTTCTAAACGATTCCCGATTAATGTTTAGCTCAATTGCATGTTTTCGGGCGGACGGTGTAGGGCTTCTGACGACGGCATCTCTCACTCGCTGTATGTTTACAGAAGTTCTTACTGTTCTATTCGGACCTTGTTTGTTTTTTTTTTCATGACACTGCCTGTTGTTCTAAAATTCTTTATCCATTTTAAGATTGTGTTGCGAAATGAAACCGCTCCACACCTACCAATATTAAAGTGAGTGCGAAAAAGCCGATGCGTAGTGATCACTGATTCTTGATTTCGGATAAACGTATCGTATGAAAACATGCGATGTTCTACCGTCCACTGCTCCATGTTTACTGAAATGACACTACTACAGAGGTAGTAACGCCACGCTTGTCCCATTTAATTACCTCAAGCTTCGTACTATGCGTTCTAAAAACATCCGGCTCCCGATTGTCACCTTGTATATTCTGGCATCTCATACATACAGTACGTTAAGTTTTGGATTAGATATTGCATACTACATAAAGCGCTAAAAATGGCAACACTGCCTCGTACGAGGTAATTGTAATTCCCGATCTCGGGATTTTGTTCGGTGAAATCATTTAGTAGCACATAACAACGCAACATCTCCGTCATTCGAATTCGAACCCGGTTCATTTCTTAGAGTACATAAACTCGATAAAAATACACTGACCTTTATAAAGCAATGCATTTGTATCGGTTTTTAATAATGTGATCAATTTTTTTGGTGGTTGAATTAAAAATAAAAGCACATTTCTCTTAAAAAGATTTAAGCAAAAAATAGACTCCTAGTGAAAATAAAAAATATTTCCTAATAATATAAGAAATAATTCTTTTTGCCCTGCAGAAATGATTCAAATGTTACGACTGAATAGTATCCAAATCTGTCATAAAAACTTCTGCCGACAGATGAAAGAGTTTCTGCAACACAATTAGAGACTTCTCTTATTTTATTTTTAATTCTTTCAAATGTTGGGCTCTAGACTCAGGATGATCGTAGATGATGATTTTTAAATGCCCCTAAAAAAAGAAGTCCATGCGTACACTGACAACTCGATTCGGGAAGGTATTATTCAAGTACTCCCTACTTATTCGAGTGTACAGCCTTGATGAAACCAAAAATTCTCCAGATTTACATCAGGAAGAACATGATTCTGTAACAAATCCAGGCATACTCTATTCAAGTTACCCTCAAAAAAATGGACCTATTATGTGGTCTCCTAAACGTTGAGTTCGGTAAATAACACTTCTGTGCTGGTTTTCCCGCGTCCAATATCTCGTAATGGAAGGATTGTGTCTTAAACAAAATGTTTTTAATAAAATTTGGTTCATCATTAGCCCTCGTTATTAGAGTCTCACAAAACTCCATTCTTCGAAAGTAATAGTCTGGATAAACCTGCCGCGTTTTCGAATATTTAAAATTCTTGTAACCGCGCTTTTTCCAAACTTTCGTTACAGTAACATTGTTAACGTCAACCTCGATTGTTGCACAAATTTGTATATCCCGGTATTCCCTTTCCTCAACTTTTTCTGATGACACTTCTTGAGCGTGACATTTGCTGTAATTTTTGAGGCAATAACTCTCAAAATTATCATTGGCGACGGGTCAACGAAACAAATTCGTAGAAAGTCGACGGCTCGCAGTGTTGCCATTTATAGGGTGTATATCTAATATCTAACTTAACGTACTGTATCTTAAAATTACCATAAACAGTGTGTTCAATTTTATGAAAAAGTTATTTTTTATCAAAAGTTCTGAATGATCTAAAAACCTAGAATACAATCATCAGATATTAATTTTTTTTTCATTCATATACGCGGTACGAATTTTATACTCATAAAATGAACATAAAATATCCGTAATTTGTAATTAGGGACATCAGTAATACTAGTACAGTAACGCCACATAATTTGTGGAGGATCTTGTTTCAGATTCCAATTTAGACACCAAGACGTTGTGAATGACAACTATTGAGATTAAGGCATTGGTTTTCGAACGTGAAGTTGAGTTATTTTCTTGTCATACTGGTATTTAAATAGAAAGAGCATGCTTTTGTCTCCATTTTCAAACTAGCTTCCACTGGCTTCGAAATCAGTTGTTATCGGTTTCTTCAAAACGTTTTGTTGTTGGATGACTATTTCTCAGTCGTCTGCATATTTGAACTGCTTACAAATGCAGGACAATTATTCCATGTATGGAAAGATCGATTAGTCTTCTCAACGGTGATCACCAACGTCCGACAATTCTGATCCGGCACGTGAAGAAGGAAGAATGTCGTCAAAACAGGTTGCTTTTTTGGGTTGTAGGTCTACGATGGCGATATAGATCTTTTCCTTTGTGACTGGTGAGTAGTATTCCGTCAACCGGTCGTATAGAGCTGTTTCAGAAGACTTCAGTTCTTTCTTGAACTTGGTCGTGACAGTTGTTCAGATTTAATGGTGCGTCCAAGTTTGTGGAGAAGAATCCATACTTTTCGACTAGATGGTTGTTTGAAGTTCAGGAATACGACAGTCTCAAAACATTTTTCATGACGCGTATTATCAAGGGAGTCAAATAATTTATCGGCAATGTCCTGATTTCCATTTTGACGAATCTCCTGATAGATAAATTCGCTGGTATCATTACATTCTGGGATATATTAAAGGTTAACGTGACACATTTAAGTAAGGATTGGAATATTATATTAATTACCACAAGTAAAACTACTAATAAATAAAATTTTACCTAGAGATGAAGTTCTGCACTTGACAGCACCTCCATTTCTAATATCTTGCGTTAGTTGTTTATTTAAATTAGACATCTCAACGCGGACACAGGTTCGTGTAAATGAGTTCCAAGCACAATGTGGATCTCGTAGTTCCAAACAGTCACTAAAAATAAGTTATTGTTAGTTAAGATATAATAATTGAATAAAATTTTTTTTTATTCATCAAATGAATGAGTTTGTAATTATATCTAGTAGACTAGCATTCGCATACAGACTAGAAATATATTTTGTATTGAAACTTTTTTTGGCAAAAAAACTTTGATCGGTCGAAAGATTCAACAATTCACTCTTTTTTCTAATTGATTAGTACTGTGGCAATGTACAATACAAGCGAAAATGCTGCCACGATAAATCAACACACAGAACCAAGACGTTTAGTCTTATCTGCCACGCGACTATGTTGCCACGAAATCACCTTCTCTCATGAATTTCACAAACGCTTTCAGTATGTTTAGAGTTGATATTTTCAGCCTTGACATAACTACTTAGTAAAAAAATAAAATACAACACTATTTGGTAAAAGTTGTTCCAAAAATCATTAGATCAGTAGAAATTATAAATATGTCACCAAAGCAAAAAATGTCCGAAAATTCTAGATATCACATTTACATATGTGAGGTGAGCACACAGGATAGAATCTAAGGACCCAACTCCAGGCATAACTCAAGACTCAGGTTTTATTAGCCTTTACACATCATAAGAGTCTCTGCCGTGAGAGACCATCCATTGTCTAGCATCTCGTGAAAGAAGAATGGGCCAGAAACAAACAAATAAAGCAAACAATGAGGACGAATAATGCAACTTCAATCATCTAAAAACTGCACAACTGGATCTCGTCACATACCATACTTTCGAATATGAAGAGTTTAAATTTGATGAAAAGTAATCAGCAAAATCGCCATTCAGCTCAAAGAGTTACGAAAACCCAGACGAACGAGTCTAAGATTTAAGAACCTGTTGCAGATCCAAAGAGGCTGGATAGAAAACGATAAAATTTATCTGAAAGCCACAACAATAGATGTATACACAAAACTACTAGTTCTATCCGACAAGAACAATAGATTTTATTATTACATTATTTACAAAAGTATTATTTACCGTCGGTAAGTAACACCTGAATTCAAATTTTGATATAAATTAATTATGTAGATATTGACGCTGTAGGAAAAGACTGGAAATTTGTATTAACAAGAAAAATAATAGATAAAAATCTCTTGACTGCCCGCCAACCAGTAATATAAGCAGTAAAGAAGTCAAATCTGGTAAAGAACTGTAAGATATCCTTAGTAAATTGAAACAAAAGTTGTTCGCTGACTAAGGCTAATCGATAACTGAGAAACACTTTCCAAATCGCGACTAGTCTGTCAGGAATACCATATATATCATTGCCACATAGCTCCTGACAATGTCTCCTGCAGTCCTATATGCCCTAACGGCGTATAAGCCCTGAAAACAATATATTTATAACGCTAAAACGTGTTGATCTAGAGATTCTACCTAGGTTCTTCTAAAACTCTGGCCTACCTAAAACTTTAATTTTTGTAAGTCATCGGTGAATAATAGTTAAATTTTATAATTGAAAATATTTACAAAACATAAAGAAACAAACCTGCATCGGGTGAAATGTTCACAGTGGATCAGCGTTACGAGTTTAACTTCACTTCTACTAACGGCAATGACCTTTCCATATTCAGGGGTTATTTTTAATTGTTTTACGGGGGTAGTTTTAGGAAAAACTTCGTTTTCTGATATGACAACTGACTGAGGTGGTGCAATACCGTTTGGAATATTTACTACCTTCAGAACTTTACCATCATCTAAAAATAATTTAAAATTAGTGATTAACACTTACAAAAAACTAGAAATACAATTTTTTGTACAAAATATTTAAGTAAATTCTATGATTTCTTCACAATAAGCTCTTATTATCGCATATTTCTATTTCTGTCTTTTTCTAATGCCAGCTTCAAATTCTAATGATCAATTTAACTTTATAATCATAAAATAAAGACAAATAAGTAATAATAAAAATAATAATAACCAATGTCTTAATTTGAATAAACTAATCTAATAAAATTGTAATATAGAGTTTAACCCTTTACCTGGTTTACTTTTTAAAAACGAACTATTAATATTTTCCCGAATGCCATTGTCATTAAAACAGTCAATTATTATTACCGGCATCTAATGTTAGTTGGCAAAATCACGTTCGACACTTCGAATGTAGAAATATTTTATTTCGAGTAGGGACTTATGTTCTCGGTTAACAATAGAATTACATCGGCATATTGCCGTATAATTTAACACTTTCAAGTATGTTTTCATCGATGTAAAATGTAAACTCAACCACATCTTTGCATTTAGTAGTCAAAATTTTACTTTACGTTTTTCCTTACAAGGATTACTTACTTTTTAGGTTCATCCAAGATGGACTGATTAGTACATCCACTTACTATAGAAGTTTTTACTTGGATATTTGAGTTTTTAACTAATATAGTATACAGCCAACTCTCGGGAATCATCCCCTTGTTAAGTTTTTATTTTAATATCTTTAGACCTCAATTTTGCCACAGTTACTGATCCATTTTTAGTTTCCTGGTTGTAACGTGACACATCATGACTAGTCAAATTACATGATACAAGATCATTAGGAATTTCTATTAGAACCTCTTTAAGAACTTTATTTTTAATTTGGGTTTCATGAATCTTCATGAAACTTTGACTTTGGTTTTTATTTGGGTATTTTCTTTTTTCATATCTCGCAATTCTTGTAGTGTACTTTGGTTTTCCAACGTGGGAGAATCAAATTCACTACTTAAGAAAGCCGTAGATTCTTCAATCTACTGAAAAGATTTTTGAAACTAGATGATTTCATTTGGTTTTAATGATGAAATTTCAATTTCTGCTGATTTAACCTCACTTTTTGCACATTGACCACATTTAACTGTATTTCCTTTCATTGCACCGGATTTTCTAGTACAATTATTTTGGTAGTAACTTCTCATGCAAATGCTACAAATCACAGCACCTATAATTTGTTTTAGAATAAAAACCACATTTTCCTGTAGAGCACATTTTTACAACGTTTACTTTAATTTAACCTCTTTTCTTTTCCTTTAGGGTTAGCAAATAATTTAGCAGCTCCTGTATAAAGTGATAAGAATAAGAATGACCCTTACCTGTTCCAACGTAAATAACGTCGTAATTCTCGTTAGTAACAGTCGGCACTTGTGGATCCACAGTAACAGCTGTAAACCTGTAATGAAGACTGACCCTAATCAGCAATGGTTGGCCAAACAGAGGAGGTACGGCTTTCTCCATAAGTGGATGAGTCTTGATGAAGTTCACGTCCTTTTCCGCAAGAACTCTGCTATCTTGTACGCATTCACCAGGCCTTGGTGTTGGAACTTTATGATCAGGAACCGGCAACCAGTTTGCGTTAATGCTCTCTTGTTGCTTGAAAGCCCCTTGGAAAACGCCTTGAACGTCTTCCATGTTGAACATACATATAGCCGAGCCGCCTATTGCGTTATCTGGGGTGGTAAGAGCACTGTAGATTATTTTTTTTCTTTCATCTCCACCGTAATTTCCTTCCACAATGTCACTAGTTGATTCTACAAAAGAAAATATTTAAAGAAATAAGAATTAGTATGAAATGTAATGAAAATTATTAAATCTCTTCCCGGAAATTTCCAGAAAACTTTCTCATATACTGCTGAATCTATTTAAGCCAAAATCGTAGAGAAATGATATATTAAACTTACGTATTTCATCAAAATAAAATGGATATTCTCCAGGTACCGAGCAGTTCAGTCTTGCTTTCAAAAATGTGGTCCAACGGTCATGTGATTGGCGCGGCCCTCCCTTATCATGTTTACAAATTCTTGCTACTCTAGAATAAATCACCTTGCCGCAGTTCATGTATTCCACAGCAGTCTCACGGAAGAAGAAATATATGTAATCTCCATAGGTCATCGAACTTACAAAATTTGGAGCTGAAATCAAAATTTTTGTAGTCATAACGATGATCAATTGAATCTTTACATTATTGTAGTTGTAGCTTACCGTTGAGCTGCCTGAGATCAAGAAGTTCAGTACGGAGGGGTTCTTTGTAGATTAATGGATCAGTTCCTGAGAAATCAGCTACTGTAGCTGAGAATAAATGCCCGTTGCTATATATGGACGTACTGTTGTGCTCTGGATCATAGGGACATAATCCTTTTCCGTCAACTTCTTTTTCGATAACAACCTGACCATCCTGAAACAAAACGATTAGAAGTTAGAAAAAATACTTTTCTTCTTGTTAAGTACAAAAAATATCATTTCAAAATTTATTTTAAAAACCATGTATTCAGAGAGTGTAAAAAATAAGTCGTTTCATATTTTCATATTTTAAAAATTAATTAATTTAATTTTCCGCGATGCAAAAATAGCACAGTTCTTACTATTTTCTCGAGCTACCCCAGTTAAAAAAAAGGTTCTGCGTGCCATAATAGCTGAGGTATTGAAATTTTTTTCAGAGCGCTTCAGTTCTAAACGAAAAAAAGACGGAGCTCAAAAAGTTCGGCCCTCCACTTTTTCGTGAAGGTATTTTACGAGTACCATTTCCCTTCTAGAAACTTCAAATATTTACCTTTAAATATATAAGATTTTTGCGTAAAATCGATGATTTCTCCACAGATAATCTGAACTATGAAGCACTATGAACGTGGTCTCGACATTAACTTACGTTTAATACATATTTTAATATTTTTGTATTATTTTCTTTTTCATGTAAAAGTTGTAACTCAATTTATGACATCTGCTAAATAATAACTGGCCATAATCTTTTTCAACTATTAATTTGAATAATTTGTTATTACCCTATATAATTAAGTTTACTTTAAATATAAGCTAAGTTTATTCAATATTTCTCTTTGTGTCGTAACTGAAATATACATCTGTCACAAAACTGGAAACAAGTGTTTATACTGGTAAACAAATCAAATGAATTAATTTACGGGCAGTCAAACGGTTTTGTGTGTTGGTGTGAAGAAAAACTTACAAATAATATTTACTTAGTTAATCATAAATATGTCAGAGATTCAAAAGTAACATCTGGTCACCTTTAGGATATTGATATCTACAAAGAGGCAAATAAATCTAAAATTTTGAACTGGATTAGAATATCTTTCTGGTTTATCGCTAGACGGACTATTTATATTTTTAATACCTTTTATATATCTGATTATGTTTTAGCATATTCTTGAACTATATCGTCAAAATAAAGTACTAAACAAAACAAAAATGAATACATGGGGAAGTTGAAAGGTTCACATAAGAATAATTCAAAATAGATAAACGACAAAAAAATGGGCATATGATAGACAACAATAACAGTAATGTGCTAAACGAACCGATATTTACTGCCCGAACAGAACATATATGTATAATTACTTAATAAATATCATTTACAAGGATTGAAAAAAAATCGATAAAACTTGTTTACTTTTTCATGTAGAATCCGAATCTGCAATAATTAAAAATCATCATACGTTGGCGATAACTGGTTTACAAGTATGCAATTGCAAATTGCACCAAAAAGAAAAATACAAAGAAATCTCATCATTTTAAGATAAGGTCCACGTTTCAGCCCATATATCAAAAAAGGTCTTATTAAGGTCTTGTATATATTGGGCTTTACTACACGTTTTGTATGTTTATTTTTCAAATGTTTGTGGAGACCTTTTTTCTTTTTATTTCGTGGATTGTCGTATTTGTTGCGTTTACTAGCGATCCAAGATATGTGAATTCTTTGACTTGCTCAAAGTTATGGTTGTTAATTTAAATTCTTTGTTAGATATTTGGGGGTTTTAGAAACCAACATATATTTCGTTTTTTCCTTGTTTACCAAATTCCAAATTCACTTGCCGCGTCCGAAAGCCTTGTAAAACACTGCATCATGTCTCTCATACTTCTGCCCACTAGGACTATAACGTCAGCGAATGTGAGAATTTGCGTCGATCTATTAAAAATGGTTCCATTCGTTCTAATATTTAATTGTCTGATTGCCTTTTCCATGGCAATATTAAAGAGGAGACACGCCAGCGCGTCCCTCTGTCTTAGACCATTATTAATGTCAAAGAATGTAGTTTTCTCCTCCAATTTTAACGCATGAGCTTACATTTTGCATTGTTAGTTGGGCCAACTTAACTAACTTAGGTGGGATCCCAAAGTCTATCATTTTATTGCAGTTCTTTTCACACTCTCATAGGCTGCTTTGAAGTCGACGAAGAGATGGTGTGTATCTATGTTATATTCAACTGACTTTTATAGAATCTGTCCATGTGCTTGAATTTGAGGTGTAGTTGACTTTCCAGCAGTAAATCCGAATTGATATTGACCAACAATATCCTTTGTAAAAGGTTTGTCTTTCAAACAATACATTGCTGAAGATTGTATACGCAGATGCTAACAGAGTAATGCCTCTCTAGTTCTTACACTCCAGTTTAGCCACTCTTCTGGTACCAATTCATTCTGCCATATAAGTACTATTTGTTTATGGGCAATTAAAAATGGGGTTTTCTATTAAAGATTTCAAAGTTAATCCCAGCTCACCCCCAGAAGGTTGAGTTAAAGGGTCGTGTTTGGTGTCCTGCGATAGATTTTTTAAAAATATTGAACACGTTTTTTGTGTTTTTCGATCCGATTTAAATTTCGCGAAATGTTTAGGTTTAGGTTTACACCTAAACACTATGTATATGTATTTACTAAACTACTAGTAGAAAAAACCACAGAATATAATGTACCTTTACATATGGCATTTATCGACTTTCACAAGGCTTTCGATAGTATTGAGACTTGGTCCTTTTTGTCAGCCCTGAAGGATGCTCGAATAGACTCACGGTACACTACACTCATTAAAAACATTTATGAACAGGCCAGATTCCACATCAAAATCAATGAAGACGAAAAAACTGAAAAATGCGCCTTGATAAAGGTATTAGACAAGGTGATACTATTTCACCAAAGCTTTTTACCTTAGCATTGGAAAATGTATTCAAACAGCTTGACTGGGAGGAAAAAGGTCTAAACATTGATGGTGTACGTTTGAGTCATTTGAGGTTTGCGGATGACATAGTATTATTTACTACAGATATCAAGGAACTGGAGCAAATGTTGAAGGAATTAAACCAGCAGTCAAATAAAATAGGTCTCAAAATGAACCTTCAGAAAACAAAAATAATGAGTAATTTACAAACTAATCTTGTTATTGACAATGTCAATCTTGAAAATGTAGACCACTATATATATCTTGGACATACCATTAAAATCGGCAAAGAAAATCAAATAGCCGAAATAAAAAGACGCATACAACTGTCTTGGGGAGCTTTCGGCAAATTAAGCTTTATTTTGAAGAATAAAGATATACCAATGTGTCTAAAACGTAGAGTTTATGACAAATGTATCTTGCCTGTAACTACATATGGACTGGAGACCATGGCCTTCACAAAGAAAACCTTAGAGCAGCTCAGTACAACCCAAAGAGCAATGGAGAGGGCCATGCTAGGGATTAGTTTGAGAGACAAGATTCGAAATAACGTCATTCGTGAAAGAACAAAAATTACTGATATCTCAGAACGTATTGCAAGGCTCAAGTGGCAATGGGTCGGACACGTTGCCCGAGATAATCCCGAAAAATGGACACAAAGATTAACAAACTGGAGACCAAGAGAGAACAGGCGAGGAGTAGGCAGATCGCAGAAGAGATGGACAGACGATATCAAACAAGTCGCGGGCAAGCAGTGGATAAGAATTGCCAAAAGTAGAAATCGATGGAAGCAAATGGAAGAGGCCTATGTCCAGCAGTGGACGAACACAGGCTGAAGAAGAAGAAGAAGAAACTACTAGCATCTACTAGTTTTTCGTAGGCCAAAAAGACAACTTTTTATTAAAATCAGAAAGGGAGACTAATTTTATAATAATATTATCTGATTTGTTGATGTATATTAAAGAAAACTAAATCAATGCAATAGGAAATAAAACAAAATATATTTAAATAAATAATAAGAAATTTTTAATGTTTAAAATGTAATACTTATGCGAAATTCAATGTACTTCGCCATGTTTAGTTGCATTTCTTTGATTTGCTGCGATGTTGGATTAAAACTTGTGACGTCTTTTTCACCTTATTTTAGAAGGTGCATCTTTAGGTGGTCGTCCAAATGATAATCTATTTGACCCTCTAGTAACTCACAACTTTCTTCGACTGATTGAAGTTGGTTGCATTATTGTATTGGCCTTGTTTCCAAATCGTCTTGCCGAGGAAATTCCTGTCGTGTTTAAAAAAAGCTTTTCCAAGCCGTTTTGGTTTTAATATGAACTAATCTTTCGGGCCATAATTTTAACGTTAATGAATCAGTTCCAAATGTAACATTTTTATCTTATTAATAGAATCTAAAAATTCATGCTGTTCAGCTGTTTGCTTATCAATGTTGGTATTAATATAATGTTCTGTAATACCTTAACTGGATCATGAAAGCCCGCTATCAAATGAAAAAGGTTGAACTTTTTTGCCAAAAGCTAATTTATCTATTTCGTATCGATCTTCAGGATTAGCTGGAATGTTGCAGAGAGATAAATTAAAAAATAAGCAGTTGCAGATTAATGCTTGCAAAATGCACCCAATCTTCCTGTTTCTGTTCTTTCTGTTGCTATGTCGACTTCGTAAAGCACACTATTATTTTGCTCAGAAGGAACTTATCATTTTTAGAGAATTTTATTATATCTTCCTGTTGTAAATATTTAATTTTTTCTAACTTTCTTTTAATGAGTAATCTTAGAGCTGCATCTCTAGATACTATTTGCAAAATTTCGAAGCCACTTTCTATAATTCTAGCTAATGTCGTTAAAAATGCCGAGAAAGCGAAACATTCCATATACGTGTTTGGCACCTCGCCGTCTATTGGTGGAAACATGCGTGCAGCAAAGGACCAATAGTAAAGTCCTTGGTGCGAAATACCTAGACGGAATATTTAGATGCACCCGGTAGTATACTTTATAGTTGGAAGAAGACGATTATAGGACAATCTCTTTAACATTCATGCATTCTATTTCTAGAATAATAAATAAGAAGAAATTAAAAATATATGAAAAGAGAAGACAAAATACTACGAACACTATGAAGAATTTTAAGATTGTGTTAAATATTATCCAATATCCATTTGAATTTAAAACATCAACAAATAAAACTTCACAATTTGAAAGCTACTAAATCAT